ATTAAGGTCTCTTATTATTGAACACCCTGAAATGGCTCCTTTGTTTTCTAGATCAGAGAGGTGGAGGGTGCAGCTGTTTCGACGACTGGCCCCTTCTTGGCTCATTAATGGGTCTGTTCACTTAAGTCCTGTGGAATTCCTACAAGAGGCTAAACACATGTTTGTGATGAAGACAACTGCTCATCCCTGCCCTGGAGCTTTATTCCTATGGATCAAAAGCCAGAGTGTATGATCTGACAGGTCCTTCCCATCTCCAATGAAAGAGCAACTTCGATGAGAGAGAAACATCGATCAGCTGCCTCCTGCACACTCCCTACTGGGGATGTGCCCGCAACCAAGGTACATGCCCTTGACCAGAATCAAACCTGGGACCCTTGAGTCCGCAGGCCGACGCTCTATCCACTGAGCCAAACCGGTTAGGGCAATGTGACTACATCTTACCCTAAGAGTGTCCCTGGATAAATGCAACCTAACCCTTTAACATGAAAATACACCCAAAGCCTTTCCGGTTCTCGCCTATAATTTATTTGATACGAATGAAAAACCATGTTTGGTTCTATAATGATTTCTCTCTCACGTTCTGTACGCATTTCCAGAGAGACGCGAGCTTCTGCTCGCCGAACAACGACAAAGCAAGGTTAGTGAATTTGCCCAAGAGAAGTAAGTCGTCCAGTGATAATCCCCATTGTGTGTCTGTAGGCTAATCTGAGAGAAGCCATAAGGGGAAAGGAGGGGCAATGGGCAGGGAGGAGAAGGGTTTAAAGAGAAGATCAGAGCGGGTGGGAGATAAAGGGATAAACTGGAGAGACAGGGAGGAATACGCAGGTCTCGGTCAAGGTTGTAGGCGTGGGAGTTACACCCCTCACACTTGAATGAAACACCGTGGGAACATTTGGCGTTGGGAACAGCCGATGGATTATTGGTTGTGACTGTTGAGGCCTCGGGTCTCACAGGTCTCCCCATTTCAGAAGGAAACCTCTCTCTCTCTCTCTCTCTCTCTCTCTCTCGGAGGCATCTCTCCCTGGCCTGTGCTTTGTCAGCGCAGGGCCTGCTGAAGTCGGTTGCAGCCTGTTTTTTTTGGCCCCTGGTGCAATTCACCCCCTGAAATAGCTTTAGCGACTGAAATCAATAAACAGCCGCTAGTGACTGACTGACATAAATACATGGTCACTGTGAGGACAGTTGTCAGACTGTATAACCTGGGGATGAGTTTAATAAAATACGAATATTCATAGTAAGAAGCCAGCCGCAGAATTTTTAGTGGCCAGGGTGGTGTTTGGCACCCCCCCCCCCCCCCCCCCCCCCCCAATCTCTACTCCGACTGCACTTAGCTGACCACCCCGAGTCTGCAGTTACATTTCACAAATAACCAGAATGATGTTTCTGGGGAGAAAGGGAGAGAGAAGGATGCACGAAGTGAAAATGAAAATAAAACCGAGGAAGGGAAAGGAGAGGCAAACTATAGAGAGAACCATCACCATGTTCTCATCATTAAAAGAGTAGGACATTAAAATCAGGAGTTTGGCCGGGCTGGTGTGGCTCAGTGGTTGAGCGCCTACCTAGGAACCAGGTCACGGTTCGATTCCCAGTCAGGGCACATGCCTGGGTTTCGGGCTTGATACCCAGTGGGGGGGCATGCAGGAGGCAGCCAATCAATGATTCTCTCTCATCATTGATGTTTCTATCTCTCTCCCTCCCTCTCCCTTCCTCTCTGAAATCAATAAAAATATATTTAAAAATAATTTTTAAAAATCAGGAGTATGATAACATGAAGTGGAATTCTCATTTTTTAGGATACGTAGCCTTTGAATAAATTTCTCTGTCATCATTTCAGTGGGTTTCATAGATGGTGTAAAAGTCCACTGTGTAAATTTCCACAAGCAAAGTTCCCAACCTATATTTCAAACAGGCTTGCCTTTCTGTTGTCTTCATTATTCTGCAATCAAAGAATGAAAACAAAAGAAAACAAATAAAAAAACAACAGGCAATAGTAACTGCACATAAAGAAAAAACGTGGAGGTAGTTTTATGTTAGAAGAATAAAACGAGTCCATAAGTAGCTTAAAAGGCAATGTGTAAGTATGCTTCAATAAATACTTTAAGAAGCAAAGCTAAATGGGTTGTTCTGATTGGTCAAACTGGCGACTAATAGCCAGAAAGTTCTTAGAATGAGGGTGACCAGACAATTAATCCCCAAACCTGAGCACTTTCAGTATTGAAGGGAAAACTGTTCATAAACACACACACATCAGGACAACAGGGGTGACCCAGGACTGTCCCTGAGTCATTCGATTTACAATGAAGCCACAGCCGACTTTCTCCTCTGTCGCTTATAATAGAGATATATTCTGCCTACTTTCAAGCCTTCTTTCCCCTTTGCCTATGCTGTAGGTTCGAATAATCATAGCTCTTGATTTGAAAATGCTTACCATGCAATTCTAGCGTTGATATAAACCCACAGCCCCTCCCCCCCTCAAACGGAAGCCCCCGAGGGGTGCTTGGCTGAGATTCTTTTGAGCTCCCCGAATGCCAATCTCCCACGTGGAAGGAAAGGGGATAAAGATAACAATGACTGGGTATGAAGAAGCATTTCGCGTGGTCTGTGCCCAGCCAGATTCAACTTTTGCATTTTGGAAAACGAACAATAGATTGAGAATCCAAAAAGCGACAATGAATTCTGACCCTCCTCATGTCAGTGAACAGAAACATAGGAAAGAATGTCTTCTGTTTGTCATTTGGTGCTGATGGGTCATTCAATATTGACTTTTTACAGGTTGTTCTTTCCTGTTTAATAAACAGTAAAGGCCGCACGATTCCAGGGACACCTGGGAAGTGAACTTCACCTCATCGAAAGGGGTGTGTTTCCTGTTATGTTTATGATCAAGATCCCTACAATTTCTTTTTTCCATTATATTGACGTGTCCCTTTAAGTACAAAAGCAGTATCTTTATAGCTCCCACCAAATGGCGAGCTAATTACTCTAAACTGAAGGAATAAACCTAAAAATGCGTGTGCCCTATGACCCAAACATACACAGCAATACACAAAATTGGTCTAACACACACAAAAAAATCATTTTGGCTGCCTGGTTATGAGAGATAACAAGTTCTTGTTTTTTTGTTTGAGAGGGCTGCGAGGTTAAGTTAATTAAGGTCCTTAAACGACAGACTCTTCTAAGATCAATCTGCCCATTTGGCCAGTTGTAACAATTAAATCGAATCAATGCCACCATGGTACTGATTGTTCAGAAATTAGCCACTCATCCGGTTGTGAGGGGAGTGGGGGGGGGGGGGGGGG